GTCCTGGGGCTCCTAGCCAACTGTGTGAAAACACTGGTGCAGAATCAGAAGCTCAAGAAGACTTTTATACCAGCAACCAAACATGGGAGAGGTAGGCTTAATTATTATTTTATTTTTCCTAGAAACATGCAGAATGAGCTTTCATATGCACGTATTTAATTCAGAGGTTGCACACAAACAGATGCAACTCTGTGTGTGTCTGTGTGTGTGTGTGTGTGTGTGTGTGTGTTTAGTTTCTACAGCTAAAAGTGTTGAGAGAAAATCTGTGGAGTGCATTCAGTTGTTTTATTTTGGAATTGATTTTCACGTTTGTGGCAGGCTCTTTTGAATATCTCTAGTGGGGTAGGATTTCATACTTTGAGTGTGGAATTACTCTTTGGAAATAGCAATGGAATAATTAGCTCCAAATTTTAGAAATAAGATGGGTAGTAATGCACGAGGAAACAGTGGGTCAAAGACAAAACTTAGAAAAACACAAATAATCCCTCTAAAAATGAGCAAAGGATTTGCAATCTTTTTTTTCCTGAAGAAAATATAAAAATGACCAATAGACGCACGAGAAGCCATCAGAAAAATGCAAAGCAGAACCACAATGAGGCATCACTTCATACATAGGAGCATGGCTTTAAGATAATAATGAGCTCTGGCGAGTAGCCGGGAACCTGGTACACTCAGACACTACAGGTAGAAATGTGAAGTGGTGAAGCACTTCTGGCTTTTGTTATGTTTGGAGTTGCCATATTAGCCAGAAGTTCCATTCCTAGGATAGGCCCAAGAGAAACGAAAACAGGTGTTTACACCAAAACCGGCACATGAAGCAGAATCAGTGATCACAGTCAAAATTCAGAAATAATCTCAATGCCTATCAGCAGATGGATAAACAAAATATGGTATAGTCATACAATGAAGTAGAAAGAAGTTAAATACTGACATATGCTTACATCATGGGTGAATTACCTTAAGAATTACCTCGGGTGAAAGCTAATCCTAAGAGACCTTATGCTAGATGACCTAATTCACAGGAAATGTTCAGAACAGGAGAATAGAAGAACATTAGTTCTTTCCAGGAGCTGGTGGCTAGGAATGCTGGAAGGCAACCAGGAATGACCACTGATGGTAGGAGACTTCTTCCCAGGCTGATGAAAATGCTTTAAAATTTATGACAACAATAGTTATCTCTGTGAATATACTAAAAATCACTGAATTGTACACTTTACATGGGTAAATTATATGCTATAGGAATATATCTCAATAAAGATGCTAAAAATAAGACTTGCTGGAATTTGTGAGTTTGATTTAATTATCTGATTTCTACTCTTAGCTAAGTATCTTCTTTACTGTCACCCTACTCTGAATGATTTATACATTTTGCTTCTTTGATTCTCTTACTATCTCCTATTGGTTGGGCAGACTGATTGATCTCCATTTCAGAAATTAGGAAACTGGAACACAGGGTGATTAAGTAGTTTCCCTGAAGTAACACAGCTGGGAGTATTGGGCCAGGATTGAAAATTCAGGCCTATCTGGTGTTAATATTCACATCTTTTTTTTTTTTTAATTTTGAAAAACTTTTATTCTTTTGAATAGTGCAGTTTCTATTAACTTCTAGGGGAATGTTCTGAATGTCCTTACCCAAACAGAGCCCACACAGATATTTCTGCATTGTCATTTCTTCGCCTTTGGCAGAGGTAGTACACTATACGTGTGGTTCTGCACCCTGCCTTCTTCATTTCTCAGGACATCCCAGAAGTTCCTTCCATACTGGTATGCTTCGTTCTTGTGTTTACGGCTCTAGAGGACTCCAGTGCCTAAATGAGGCACCATGACTTAATTAACTGTTCTTCTTTGATGGCTACTTAAGTTTCTTTCCAAGATCCTGTGTTTTGAAACTACCTTCAAAGGCAGAAGGGAACTCATAAGAAATTCAGTCATTTAAAAAATAAAAGCCTTTCCTCAAAAGTGAACTACTTTTATCAAACATGTTGGTTGGTTAAAAAAACAAACAAACAACAACAACAACAACAACAGAAAACAACTGTTAAATTCCAATGTAATGGACTGATGTTATGTGCCTCCCAAAGTCACAGGCTGTAGTCCTAATTCCCAAGGTCGTGGTGGGGCCTTTTAGGACCTGAGGGTAGGGCCTTCATGAATGGAATTAGTGCCCTTCTAAGGCATCTCCAGAAGAGAGCTTCTCTGCTTCTACCCCTGGGGGAGACAGTGAAAGGGAGGTCTGCGTTCAAGCAGGCCCTCCCCAGACACTGAATCTGCCAGGACCCCGATTCTGGACTTCCCAGCCTCCAAAAATGTCAAAAATAAGTTCTTCTTGTTTACAACCTACTCAGTTTGTGGTATTTTATTGCAGCAGCCTGAATGAATCAGATAATCAACACCAACAAAAATTAATTGCATTATGCTAGAGTTACAGCCCCATGTGAGCCATGAAAATGTATTCCATTTCTATAAACAGGAGAGGCCCAGGGATTTCCAAAGACTAAACAGCATTCAGTTGTTCTGAAATCTCTGTACCTATTTAGCATATTGTTTCTGCTGATTAATATTTGTGGAAATGAAGAATAAGACATTCCTACTGAATCACGGATCACTCGTATGGTGACTCTCCATATGATACCTATGTTAAACCAATCAGATTCCTTGAATGGAATGGAATTCCAATTCTTATTTTAGCAAAACGAGACAATGAATATTTTAAGGCTTCCCAGCTGTCTTAAGAACTTCTATTAGCAGTTTTAAAAAAAACTTGTCAATTTTATTTCCCTTTTTCCTCTTGTAAAGAAACTATCACGTTAATAAGGCAATGGATTTTCTAATGGACGCCTACCTTAAATGAGTTTGAGCATTTACAGGTAAAGGAGAAGCAATAAGAAAAGTAAGATGAGTGCAGACAGGATATCCAGGACTAGAGACCAGGGATCTCTTCTAAGGGGAATGAGAGGCAAGAACACCAGTGTGGAGCTTTTCAAAGGGAAAGAAAGTGACAATTGAATTGAAAAGGCAGGACAAGAACATATATTGAGCTTGAGTATCGGCTTGGGGAAAATCTTATGGTACACATCCAGGGTGATGAAGACTGTGGAAATTGATTTTGCAAAGCGAGTGCAGTGCAGATGGACAGGAGAGGAGGACAGGTGTCAAGGCCACAGTGGATGAGCAGTGAGTATGGGTCTCATTCATGGGAAACAAAAGAGCCCAGAAGCTCAGACACTAACTAGAACCTGGACAGAAATATGCTGTGCTGAAAGCTTAAGAAAAAGCGTGTGCTTCCTATTATAACCATCATGTGGATTTGCAGTGGGAGATTTGGAAAATAGAAGAACATAAAAAGAACAATTAAAAATCACGCGCAATCCTACCACCCAGTGAGAACCATGATTAAAATATTGGCACACTGACTTGCATTCTTTTCTTTATGTACATGTAAGAAAAAAAATATATATATACTTATATACATATATATTTCTATCTGCAAAATTGGGCTCATATTATCATATTATAAATAAATTTTATACACATCCTGCCCCCCCAATTCATGAGTAGTTTCACATGTCATGTGTTCTTCCAGGATGTAATTTTAATGACAGCATTATATGTCTCCTATAAATTTAAGCAAAATCATTAGATTATTTCCATACTGCTTAAACTCTAGGTTGTTTCTAATTTTTTTTCCATCTTATAAATAGCACTGTGATGGATTTTCTTGTCATAAATCTTTATTTATTTCCTAAGAGAAACTTAAAAGTATATCAGTATATCCCATTCAAAATTCATTCACTCAGCAGACCAGTCAGTACCTATAACCTCACCACTGGAAGCCTCTTGGGACAAGATTCAAAAAAACGCATATCAAATAAACAATGCTATTTCCATATCACTTGCAGTCTATATTTATCCTTCTGGAGCAGTCATCTTTCAGGCAGTACATTATTTCCTCCAGGCAAATGGACTATTACTGGGTTAATCTAAATGCAATAACAAGAAACTTGGCTGACCCAGATTTCTCCAATAGAAGTGTGCAAGCAATTACAACATTCTGCAGATTGAAGAATACTCAAGGCTCTCAAAAACACATATTTTATCAATCCTTTCATTTAAAATGATGCCAATTGAGCATTAAAAGAAAAAAAAGGTTAGAGTCAATGTAGGATGATAGCAACCACATCTTAAGTAGACACATATTTACACATAGTGTGACTTAAGGTTTTCTTCTAACTTTAGCTTTTTCCCTCTGTCACTTCTATAGTTATAGGGCTTTTAAGTACTCTAAAACATGTTGAAGTTATTAATGATTCCTATTAAGAATTATATGGTCTTAATAGTCTAGTCATAAATTCTTTACAGCATATTTTTAAATTATTCTATTTTCAAGACACTAAAGTAGGGTTTTCATGATCTCTAGAGTACGTGTGTGTATAAATTCATTTACATAGGGACATTCAATTAAAATGTTTTTCTAAGACTGGCCAATAAAAAAATAAAGTAAAACAAAACACAATAAAACCCCCACCTGCACCGCTATTCACATTAAGTATGAAATCACTCAAATTCCAAAGGCTTCTCAGAATTACCAGTCAGATGAAGATATCTAGGGCTCCATGGTATAGTTGTGCAGAGTGCACACTGTACAACTGTTGAGGACACAACTGAACCCTGATCTATGTGACTGGTATCTGGAGTAGTGCAGTATGCAATCTATAATAGCTATATGTGAAGACCTTGAGGTTAGTTCTAATAGTTCTGTTTGCTTATCCATTTCTTATTCATGCATCTTTTCCTCTAGAGAGCTATGAAAAATAAAAGTTTTGAGGGAGGGAATTGGGTCTTTAAATCTATGTAGCTTTTTTTTTTCTTTTAATTTTAAATGAAGGGAAATTCTGCAAAGAAACAATAACAAATTCTCCCTGGCTCCCTTTTGTTACTATGAAAAGACTTTCTGTCTTCCATCTCCCCTTCCAGCCATCCAGTAGGAAGCAATGATGTACCTTGTGTGAGTAACTGCAGATTTCGGACTTCTTCTCGCACCTTCAGCTGGAGCACCTGTTGCAAGATGTGCTGCCGGAGGTTCTCCTGGGCTATCCCCATCCGCTCAAGCTTTTTGTCTGTGAGTCTCAGCAGAGCTCGCCCTGAAGGGTTAAGAAATAAAGAACAACAGATGAGCAATTCATTGGAGAAGAATTCCGTCTTGGTCCTAGTTGGTCCCCACATAGTAGAAGTTTCCAACCATACATACACTGCAGAACAGAGGGCCCTCCATTGTCCTTGTTGACAAGAATGGGCAATTGGGACGAAGAAAATCCATGTGTGTAAGAAAACCCCAATTTGTATCTAATATATTCCAACTAACTTAAACGCTGAGTCAGATAAAATAGAAAATGGATATTTGGGTCACCAATGCAGGTTTCCATAGAAACAAAGCTCTTCATTGAGGGACAGGTTCCCAAGGCACCAACAGCCCAGATACAGAACTGGATGCTCTAACTGGTTCTGTAGAAACCCAGCAACACGGAGCTCAAGACACAATCTTGTCTCTGTGAAGCATGCATTTAGAGTTGGTTTTGAATCTTCAGGGCTCTCTCTCTCTGGCTGCTCCTCTGGCACAGGGCTGGAGTCCATCTCCAGCTGCTGGGGCTTTGCCTTAATCTCAACCACTGGCCCAGAGTGAGGGTTCCAGCAGGGCCAAGGGCAGGAGGAGTTGGGGAAGCTCAGCAAAGCAAGATAGCAAGCCTGGGTTGGAGCCCTCAGTATCCACACCCTGGGTGGCCAGCATGGCCTCCTTGGATGCTGCCTTGCCCCAGAGGTCTACCTGCTTCCCCTGTACCAAGATTTCTATTAATGTTCTTCCCAGCTGGGCTTGCCCTGAAATAAGCACTTCCATTTTGAAGGTTTACTATAAGAAATAAAGGGAATGATGGTTGTTAACTGCCCATGGCACCACCCTCTAGTCTCTCCTGACATCCCTAGGCATTACAACTGCAGATCTTTTCTCATTTCCATGACTGAAGGAGAGTCAGAGTCAACCACATGTGATCCATGGTAAGTCTGCGGGTACATTATTACATACTCCAGAAACTAAATGTTCTACCACGGTTGAAAAAAAAAAAAAAAAGACCACCAACCAGATGGTGAAGTTAATGGGCATTTTTATCAAAGGAACAGGAAAGCCCCTGTGGCCTGTGAGTGAGAGAACCCGTGGGGCACAGTCTGTGCAGCCTGCTCTTTTTGCTCCCTTCCCTTTCGCCCTTATAAAATGCACCAGTCAGGATAAGTTAGCTTACATGGTACAATAACAAACAACCCCCAAAACATCAGTGAGTACAACAAAGTGACTCTCAGCTTGTTCAGCAAGTTGACTGCAAGACCACCCGCCTCTAACCCGGCTGTTTAGAGAACCAGAGGGAGAAACAAAGGCACTAGAAGATCCCATTGATGACACACTCAGCCCAGAGTCATCTCTGGCCGGAACTAATCACAGAAATCTTCCCACTCACAGGGCTGCATCTTTCACTTCCAACATGTTCCCAGAAGTGGGAGGGGGGTGGTGTAGGAATATTGGTCAGGAATATTGGATGGGAACTGTTTAAGTCAGGTTTTGTGTCACTGTGACCAAAATACCCGACAAGAACAACTTAGAAGAGGGAAAGTTTATTTGAGGATCATAGTTTCAGAGGTCTCAGGTGTTAGATGGCTGACTCCATTGCTGTGGGCCCGAGGTGAGACAGAACATCATGGGGGAAGGGCCAGTGGAGGAAAGCTGCTCAGCTCACTGCAAGGTCAAGAATCAAAGAGAGAGAGAGGGTGAAGGGGGCCACAGGGAAGAGGCATCCTTCCAGGGCAGACCCCAGTGACCTTCCTCTTCCAGCCATGCCCCACCTGCCGATGGTTACCACCTGGTCAGCCCAATCAAACTAGGATGGACTGATTTGGTTATGGCTCTTCCAATCTAATCATTTCACCTCTGAATATTCCTGCACTAACAGAAGGAGCTCTTGGGGTCATCTCCTATCTAAACCATAACAGCAAGCAGTGGCAGAACTATACCATTACAGATGTAGCCCTGGAGTAGTTCCTGCAAGGAAGTGAGCTCAGAAGTGGGCATGTTGGCAGGGGTGTCGGAGGCTTCAACAGAATCTGCATTTGACCCAGGGACCCAAAGCTGAACCTCAGGCTGGCTACCGAGGGGATTAAGGTAGTCATAAGAAATCAGGGAAAGGACAAAAGCAGACTCCAGGGCTTCTACTACCTTCTGGGATGGGTGAAATGAGGGACCATGAGATGTTTGCAGTCTAATTTCTATGGATTTGGCATTTTCCACTACAAAAGGGGCTTTGCATCCTTGATTAAGGTAAGGACCCTGAGATGGGAGATACTCGGCATGATCCAGGGCAGGGTCCACCCAGTCTACCTACAGGACTCCTCTAAGAAGAAGAGGGGGATGGTAGAGGGAGAAGGAGAAAAGATGTGGCAAAGCAAGCAGAAGTCAGAGGGAACTGGCCACTAGCCCAGGTGCTCAGGCAGCCGCTAGAGGTTGGAAAAGACACGGAAACGGCCTCTCTCCTGCCCGCTCTGGGTATGCAGCACTACCAACACCTTGCTTTGAGCCCCAGGGGACCCATTTTAGACGCGTGACTTCACTACTGTAAGATAATAAATTTGTGTCACTTTAAGCCTCTAAGTTTGTGATAATTTGTTACAGCAGCAATTGGCCTTGTGACTGGAATTTACACGTTCTTAAGAAGTCAAACAGATGGCTTTAGATTTCCCTTGCTTTCACAGTTTCTGGGTAGTGGCCATAATCAAAAGCAGCGAGCGGAGGCCTGCCAAGGAAGGGAGAGCCAGAGTCCCAGCTCCAGGATGGGAATGGCTTCTGTGTTCCACCCACTGTTAGACCCTGGTCCTGAAGTCTCACCTGAAAAACAGTGAGCGGGACTCTGCTATCAGTTTCGTGGATACTTGGTGTCCAAATATCAGAGATTTGGCATGCTATAAACTTATAAATACTGCATGATACACTACCCAAAATTCAGAAGATCCAAATCCCTCCTAACACCAAAAGGTAACTCTGTGGTTTCCAAAATCATGACATTCTACACCAAGAGCTGCTGGGGCTCTGCTCAGACCCTGGGCAGCTGCAGTCTGGAGAGGACACTGGCCCATGATTAGAGCTTAGTGTTACTAAGTGATATCAGGGCTTTATTCCAATGCACTCAGCTCAACTGTTCCTTGTTTGATGAACCCTCTTGTCTCAGCCTTCCTATAAATATATCTGATTGCTCGAAGTATGGGCACGTGATATAGCAGAACAGTGATTAAATACATCAGGCTTGAATATATGAATTACAAAACTATCAATTATCAAAGTCTGGGTGTTTTCTGACTATGTAAGACAATCATACTTAGTAAGTGTTTTATACATGATACTTGTAGCTGTTCAAATTGTTTCATCCAAATCCCGATACTATAGATCTCACTGTTTTTATTTCCATTTGGTAAGAAAGGGAAATTAAGAAATTCAAGAATTTTTAAAGCATGAAAGGTTTCCATGATTCTTCCCACTATTTCTTCAGTTGTGCTTGATCTTCCTTGATGGAAAAAAATAAAAGGCTCAGACTTCAGGAAGAGAGATGAAGGTTAAAATGTTCAGCATTTCCTGACAAAACAACATCTAGAACACCTTGGATCTTATAAGAAAATCTGATTCATTTCCTTGGATGGTTTCTTTCAAGTTGATGGTTCTGGAAAACCCCTGCAATAATTAAATCATTTCCAGGAGCAAAATGTCCCACCAGTTTTCTATCTCGCCCCTCCTGCTGACTACAAAATGAAAAAGTGTCCAAATATGCGTGGTTCTGCTTTTTTAATGCAGGGAAATGACAATTAGTGAATCAATAAATTACATCCTTTGTTTTTAAACATATAATGTTAATTTTCATTAATCATCAAAAAAATTCAGTATTTTGTTCAACAAGCATTATTTCGGCACTAACGAGGTGGTGGATATAATGATGCCATCCTGGGTACAATGGTGAACACAGAAGACAGGCAATCTTGAAGCCTTCAGGTTGACGAGGAAGGCAGCCCATGACACAACCATGGGTGTGTGTTGAATGCTGTGAAAGGGCAAATATGGTAGGTCCCCTATTTTGGGCACTAGGAAGCTGTCATTGAGTGAAGGACATGTAGTCTAAGAAAAGGAAAAAGGAAGAACGCATTTTTATAGCTTCAACAGTCCCAACACTCAACACAAGAATGTCTCGGCCACCTTGTTCTGCAGTCAACTGCTCACATGGAGGAGGCTCAAGGAGTGAAAACCAACCCAGTCTCAGAAAAGAAGTAGCAACTGAGTTTCCTGATTACAGGTAATGGTTGGATGGCGGACTTCCAGGCTCTTCAAAGAACCACACACTCTTGGGGTCAGGAGAATAATGAAGTCCTTATTATTGACCTTACTCCTCTTCTGTCAGTCTTTCCTTTATCTAGTATTTACTGGCCACCATTACAAGGTTGGCATTATTCTGGATGCTGGACATGTATACATGCATAATGCTTTTGCCTCCTCAGAGCTCACTGTTCAGTGTGGAGAAGGCAATGCACAAAGAGACTGAGGCCCAGGCATTGATGTAGAGATGGAGATATGACGGTAGGTAGGTAATAGCAGCTGCTGTGAAGACGAGGCAGGAGCAGGCACAGGAAAGACCCATTGGAAAGATGGGGCGCTGTCACAGTTTGGTGTCTCCTGAAGGGGAGACCAATGGAACCAGAGAGAACAATGAAGGAACAGAAGTGTCAATCAACTGGAGGAATGGCTAGCATCATGAAGGCAGAGCAGACAAGATAAGAGAATGGTAAGGAAAGTGGGTATAACAGAGGGCAGGGGCCAGACTACAGAGGGTTTTGTAGCCTAGGGAGGACTTGGGACTTTATTCTGAAGGTAGTTGGTTACAAGCAAAGGTAGCTTGGACATGACATCAGGCATTAAAGAATCCCTGTGGGGGCTGGGATTGTGGCTCAGCGGTAGAGCGCTCACCTAGCACGGGCGGGACCCAGGTTCTATCCTCAGCACCACTTAAAAATAAAGGCATTGTGTTGTGTCCATCTACAAAAAAAGATTCTCTCTCTTGAAAAA